GGGCAGAACTTGAATTTATCATACCTTTGCGACTGCATGGTCTAAAAATTCTTTAATTAGGAAAAAGCCAGGAGCACCACTACCTATATGTTCCTTCAAGGCTCCTGCCCCTTCCTTATCCCCTCTTTTTCCTTCATAAGCAAGAATCTGGTCATTAGACTTTAAAGATTCATTTTGGCTACTTCACACTAGATGGTTTCTAGTGATGGAAGAGTTCGCTGTGAGCCATAAAGTGTAGTAGGTTTTTTAACTTCATTGCAGCTACTGTTTGGATTAAAAATCATTTCAGTGACTAACAGAAGGAGCAGAAGCTGCATTGGTTTAATTTTACATAAGCATACACTTGATACATGTGACTATCTAGGGTAACCTTAAAAAATTACTGATTTCTGGTTGAGGACAAATACCTAATTTCTGCAATACTGTTTCTTTTTGCAGTTAAGTGCCTCAAGAACACGCCAGCTTTTTTTGCAGAGAGATTACAGAAAGCTATGAAGGTAGGTGCCTGTGACAAGATAGAAAAACTTAGTGTGCCTTTTTTAAAAAATGCTTGTACAGCTCATTGGAATGAATTATTCAGCTGAAGATACTGGATTTTTCAGTGAGCAGATGACTAACAAGATGCAGTCATTATTATGAAAGGCTGGAAAAATCTAGCTAATTTGATCCACTTAACAAGGAGATGCATACGACTATGCCTTAAAGAAAGTCTTCACTTGGTAAAACACAAATATGCTTAAGACTTATCGAAATTGATATCTTTTAAGTAGGGAAGTCTAGCTGAAATAAATAAATAGTCCACAAACTCACCAAACTTTCCTGACCCTCTGTCCCTCTGATACCCCCCTTCCCCCTTTTCTTTTTTCTAACTGTTCTTGTGCAGAGAAATGACTGTTAGTTTCCTACCAGTAAGTTTAATTTATTAAAGCATGATAGGCCAAATTCTGTTCAAGCTTGTTGAAGTCAATGGGGTTATGATAGTAAATGGCAGCTTGTGGGGTGATGATTTATTTTATTTTTTTACTAATGCTGTATTGTCCAGCATTTCCACTCATTATTAACATGTTACATTGTTGTTTTGTTTATTTCAGGGAGCAGGAACAAATGACAGAACTCTGATTCGCATCATGGTATCACGCAGTGAGGTTGACCTACTGGATATACGTGCAGAATACAAGCGGATGTATGGCAAATCCCTCTACACAGACATCACTGTAAGACTTGGAGTTTTTATATTCCGTGCCATGACATCCTTTCTGCTAGCAGAACGTGGATCCTTATGCTGAAAAGTTCTTAACTGCACTGAGTGTAGCTGGCTGTGTTTGGTTTGCTGCATTTGACAGGAGAGTGGAGGCTGACGTGCCAGAGAACAGACAGCGCTTGCTTTTGTGTCGGGGCTAGATGAGCTGGAGATGCGGGGGAAGCCAACAGACAGGGAAGGAAATGGAAACTGGTCCAGATGGGTTTCAGAAACCAGGGCTTAAGTCTGGTCTCTGTCCCAATCTCCGTATATGATCTTGTAAAAACCACTTAGTCCTCCAACGAAGTAACGATGGTGCCCTACCTCATGTGTGTGTTGAAATAGCTCCTAATATGCTTTTAAAAGATTGCCTCCTCTTTCTTTTGAAAGCATGTTTTGGAAATAGACTAAAATTCAGATTGTTTAGCAGTTGATCAACCCTATTATTGCTATTAACAGCTGTAGCAACAGTCAAGAGGATGCCTGTCTGGTGGGGAGGGTAATAAGAGCTGGAGGAGAATGAGTGGTCCCACCTTCATTTACCTTGTAATGAAAGTGCCAAACCTGTTAAGCCCCTGTTTATTCCTCTGCTTTTGACACTGAGGGGCTGCAACTTGGTGGTGGTTGGGAGGAATCCTGCAAAGACAGTGAAGAGTAGTGTGTGCCAAAAAGTCTTCATGTGAGTCTTCTGCCAGCAAGTATATGGTCTTTCTGTCCATGTTCCACAAAGGATCACCTAACAGAAGCTTCTTCCAAATGTGTAACTCTGGAGTGAAGATGTGCTCCTACTGCAGTAGTTATATGCCCTGTAACCACCAATGTACGAGTAAAAAACAGTGAGATGTTGGTTGAAAAGCTCTGTGTCTTTTTTCTTTTTTTTTTTTTTGTTCTTTTCTTTGTCCTTCTCTTTTGATCTGGCATTAAAATAATTTTACCATTCAGAAACAAGAACAGGCCATACCCATTTAATGGGCTGAACTTACTCAAAACCTGGTTTCGGTAAATATGGGGCATTCATCTGCACAGTTAAGCATAAGTAAACTCTACTTATTTCTGTAAAAGTAAAGCCTAAAACATCCTTGGAAAGAAAGTTCTTAAATCTCTTTTTTGTACGTGAACAGACATTCTTTCCTTTCGGTGTGTACATAAACAGGAATGTTTCATATTTTGTGGACTGTGCTTTACACACATGCACAGGATTTATCCTGATCTCTGAAGTGTCTCTCACTATTGTAATAATTCTGATCAGGACAAAACACTTTTCAGTCATACCTGAAGATGAAGGTTGAGATAAATGCAACAGCTGAAACTGTTCTGTGAAAAGGATTGACAAGTCTCATCAACCAAAACTAGTTAATGAGCAGCTTCCAGGGAACGCTTTTTACAAATTAGAGCACCAGGCAAAACTCAACTAGCACAGGCCTTTTGTGATCAATTGCGTGTTTGTGCGTGCATCCATACTGACTTTCACTGCCCGCAACATGAAAGAGATGTTCTTAAATTGTGGGGAAAAAAAAAACCCTTAGATCTTTCGGTATTAGGGCATTGGTTTTAATATTTGAACATAATAAAGAGTGAACTTTCACTCACTGTTCCTGGAAAAATATCCACATTGACTTCAAGGAAAAGGATTTCTGTATTAATTTTTCCATATTTTCATCCCTTTTGCTGAAAGGCAGCTTTTCAGTGAGATTTTTTTTTACTGAACTATTTCCACGTAAGTAGTTGAGCCTATATACCAAATTTAGTTTGCTAAAGAAATACGTTCTCCATGGACACTTTTGATTTCAGTTACAGAAGGAGCAGATCTTACTGTGTACTTCTATTAGAGTGATTTCTAATTAGCAGGCTTTTAATTTTTTATTTTTTTTAAGAGGTTAACACCTGCTTTCTTTCAGTCTTGGCTTCATCTCTTTTGGTCATTAATGTCATGTTTAGGATGCTTACCCTTATTTTTCCTCTGTTTCAAAGCTCAAGTCTTCAACTTTTCTTTTTCTGGGTTTCTTTCCAGGGTGATACTTCAGGAGACTACCGTAAAATCCTACTCAAGTTGTGTGGTGGAAATGACTAAAGGGAGCACTGAGCTTTTCTTAAAGAAGCTGCTATTTTCATGTTTTGCTTTAAAGCATCTTTTTTTCTGCAAAAGTAAATATGTAATGACCTGTTTCCCCTAAAGCAATTATATTTTAAAAGATAATATTGCATATATCTTCAGTTCAAAATAGTAGGTAATAAATGCCAAAAAAATATTAATATCAAGCTTATGTATGATCTGCTCAGGACTCTGTATAGTACTCTCAGCAATCCATGAATGACAGGTCATTATTTCTTTTCTGCTTATGTTATGCTCAAATAATGTTTGTTTTATGGAACAAAAATTACAGTTGTATGATTAAAAGTGGGGTTTTTTTGTGTGTAAACATTACATGCCATTTTAATGCAAGTTTTAAATATATTGTATGCAAAGTTGGTTTCATGCTAGTCTGCTCCCTGATATGTGGAGAGATCAGCCTTGAGTTTTGTGTCTAGTTAAGACTGTTTTAAAGAAGTTTTGTTAAGTTCCATTTTCTTTCCTTGGTTGTTTTTAAGGAAGATGTGTTCAACATTTCATTCTCACTAGTGCAATTGTCACAAGGAAATAGTTCAGTTGACAGTAGTAAAGATTCCATGGTTAATGTTTTAAGGTTTTGGATCGTGCCTTAAATATATGTATGTAGGAAGAGATTATGAAATTAAATCTCTGTCTTCTAACTCTTTACAGACTGTGCTTTTTGGTGTTCATGTTGATTTACATGTGACTGATGACTCAGTTTATGTAACTTAGTTTTTCCATAGAAGTTCTCTACTTGAATCCACAGAATTACTCAGAAATTGTTGTGTTGACGAGTTTGGGACTTGTGTGCTGTTGATGAGCAATTGCCTGTATGTGATACATGTAATCTGTAGTTATTATGTAATCTGTAGTTATTGCTCAGTACTTCCATTTTGCGTATTGTAATTACTCTTCTCTGACTCCTGGAACTCTGAATTTTTATCCTCTGCTAGCATGGATGACATCTCTTCAGCTTGTTTTTCCCAAAATAAACACACAAAGGGGAAAAAAAAAAACATACAAGGTGGGGGAAGAGGTTTAGAGCTAGGTCAGTTAAAACAGACTGCTTGTTAGTCAAGCATGTGCAAACTCCTTTTCTTATTTCACACACATATGCACGCTCTCTCTGCATTCTGTGAAGGTCAGGGAGGTCCTGTTTCCTAGATTTTGTGTTGCTGTTTGTCATAGAAGAAAATGGGGGTATCATGGGGGTGGATGTTGGAGTTAATTCTGGGTTGTATTGTCACTGTGGCAAGGGAGAAGGGTATAAAGATTACAGAATAAGGTGGCTGTGGGTCTGGATGACAAATTCTGACTAGTCCCAGTTCTGACTAGGCCGTGCAGATAGGACTCCTGTTTCAGGCAACGGCAGCCATGTGGCCATGTCCAAAGCCAGACCACTCCATACACTCAGTCAGACAATCTAAGCATATCTTGAGAGGAAATTTCAGCTGGAAGTATATATTCATTGATTTACACTGATGGCAAGAGTTCATTTCTTTGCTGGGGAAGGAATAAACTTTTGAATTAAGTGTAGTTTGTTAGCTGTGCTTTAGTCCTGGGTCCCACCTCATCTTGTTTTCTTGCTGAGAATGCTGTATTTGAAATGCAGTTTTGATAAAGTAGGGCTGCTGTAACATTTAAAATACAAAGCTTTGAAACCGTGTCTGAAAGCAAATACGTGTTTATTATAAAGCACAGGAACACAAAAGGCAAACTACAGCTGAGGATTCTTCATCCCTGCTCAAATTCTGGAAACACGAGCTTATTAAATGAACAAAAGTGCAACTGTTTATGACAGCCGGTGTTACATTCAGCTGTCTTGTGTCTTTGCAGTGCTCAGCTGGTATCTGTATAGAAAAGAGCTGAGGTAATTATTTTTGGCTATAAGATCAATCTTTGGTTATAAGGATCTTCGGTTATAAGGATCAATCTTTGTGGATAAACATAATTTAAAACATTAATAATCCTGCTATTTTAAAGTGGGGAACTGTCACTTTGATTCACCACATCACAGAAGGAAGGTCCTATCTGAAGTTCTTGAGCCATTTGGCAGTTGTTACAAGCTCCATCTGAATAGTACTTACTATAGATGTGCTACAGCTATGCCAAGGTTGACTTAATGTTTCCATTTTAAATTCATTGTAACGCTTTACTGGAATACTTTTCTTTTTAAAATAAACTCTTCTTGCAGGGGAGTAACTTAATTGTTACCTATTAACTGTCCCTCACAGAAAATCGGACTATTTAATGAATAACAAAGTTGGTAAGGACAATATCAGTCATGGTGACCATATCCATACAGCCAACTGCAAGAACTAAAAACCAGCGTAAACTACTGCTGTCTAGTTCGAGCCCACCTTCTGTCATGTAAGTGCACTGTGGTATGCATGTGTGTAGGTACCCATGCACAGCTATCTTAAATGAACAAACAGAAAAAACAACACTGACAAAACTGACTTCATAAACATGTCTGTGGATGCTCATAGTTTTCCACAAATGGTTTATTTTCTACCAGGATGGTCTCTCACCTTGTTAAATACACTATTGATGCTTGGGTAGAGAATGAAGAGGACAGAGCATTATAAGAAGCTGTGTAGAATAGGTGATCTCATCCAAATAATTTATTCCAAAAATGTTTATCCAGGAGCTTGTTTTGTGTGAGGGGCTTGCATGTCAAAATTGGATTTAAGATATCAAAATGGTAATACTTCAATTTTTTTTTTTTTTTTACTACCTTTGTTTCATTTGTCACACATGAAACTAAAGAATTACAGGATCTTAAAACTGGAAGACCTTGAGATTGCTTAGCCCATCCTGGTGGTCTAGAATAATATCATTTCTGTGGTTCACTGTCCTTGTAAGAAAGTTTTGCATTATGTTTTGCTTGAGTCTGTCTTTCTGCATTATTTCTTGTTTTATTCACTTTTGCCATGGGGAAGAAAACACAGATTTCATCTTTGTGTCAGCCTTACTTGTTCTGGTGGGCTACCTCAATATTCTTTAGAGTATACATCCCCAATTTAAACACCTTTCTGTGTAGCTCATGTATCTAGCTCCTTGGCTGGGTTCTTCTTTGTTTGGTGGTTTGGGGCTTTTTTCCCCTTTTCTCAATCCCTTTCTCCCCCCTTTAGTAGTTGTTGAAACCTGGTGTTCAAAACTGGACCCAGTATTTCAGCTGAGGCCTTAGCTTCACTGAATTGAAAGAAGGCATTACTTCATGTATTGGAGGGAGAAAAGATTACATCTTTGGTAATAATATATGCAACACTGTTTTCAATTTAGGTTATATCCCACTAGATACTTACCATCAAATATATCTGTAAGTGGGGTTCCTGGAGCAATGGGGATATTCGATGTTGTCTCACTGATGATGTTGAGGAGTGATTTGACTTCTGATTCTAGATGCTCCACTGTTTTTATTACCTTCTAATGAAAACAAGGGAGACAGATGGAGAAAGGGGGTAGTCAAAGGGTGAAGTGGCAGGAAACATACCAAACGTGTTAGCAGAAGTGCAAATCTAATGTCCCATAATGCAAACAGCTAATTTAATTTATATTGCGCATTGCAGATATAAATATTTTTTGTGTTATGCTGGCCTCTAGTGGCATGAAGTATTAGGACTTTGTTTTGAAAGAGTTAAATTACAGCACTTCTGTATAAAGAATCGCCCATAATTTGACTTCTTGGAGGGACCTTTGCTTTTTTTTTTTTTTTTTTTTCTTTTTAAATTATCTCTTATTTCTGAGCCTCCAGGAGAGAAGTAACATTGCCATTTGAGAAGCAACAGTGTGTAGTTTGGCAGCTACCCAGCTGGGAGCAGTTAGCTCTGGACATGTATCTTGTGAGTCCTTAAGACACCAGGGGAAAAAAATTTTGAACGTTGCATCTTTGCTAGAATCCCAGTCATAGAGTTCATTTAGCTCTTGAGTATCTGCAGGAGCGAGCAGAAGCTCCTCTGTCAGTCTTGGAGTCATCTGCAGAATTCACATTTACCCATGAGCAGATGTGAAACTTTACAAGTGTCAACTCTGAGACTGTTTTATTAATGGCACAATTATAAACATTTTAGAAAAGGCTGATATGTAATAGTGATTGGTTAATCACTTGTTTGGAATTCATCAAGATTATATGTTTCTGGCAATAATGGTTTTATGGATAGTTATGAACCATGATATCTGAAAAAAATGGTTATACCTTGAATAGACTAAAATCAAGAAGTGATAGTGTCTAGAAACATCATTCTTTTTTCTTTTCTTTGGTCAAAAAGATGGGGCACAGGTCTTGTAAAGTCCAGGAGCCATCACGCTAGCTCTTACCTCTTCAATAATATCTAAGCGTTTTTGGACCGTATCATGTTCATTACACCAGCTTCCTCTTCCCAAACTTCCAGGTAACACACTGACAGGGTCTGCAGCAGCTGGAAAAACAGCCACAGTTAATCAGAAGGAGCTTTTTAATAGCAGTCCTTACCTTTCTGATTTCTGAAGTGGTATTTTTGCATGCTAAACAGCATTGTTTATGAAAACAAATGTATGAGTCCCAGGTAGTAATTGAACCTCTCTCCCGATAACTACAGCTATACCCCAGTGCTGTGAATGTCTCCTTGCCTGTACATGCTGTCACTGTGTTTATTCTTGCCAGGGGTATTGGGTTTTTTTATTTGTGCCTATGTTTGGTTTACACAATCTCTTTTTTCCTACCTGTGTGTAGGGTAAGTTTACAGACTGTAACTCTGTCTCTACAAGTATAAAACCTGAGCGTTGGGAAGATCAACCTTACACATCAGTTCTTCTTAGACTTTCTTCAGAAACAGATGTCACAGTAAAGCTTTGAAGAGTAGCTAAGTTTGTCCACTTATGCCCCAAATAGATACAGGCTGGTGAATCCACTGGGACAGAAACTTGTCTGTAACAGTCTGATTTTGCAATGGGAAGGAAAACAGTAAAAGTGTGTACAGCTGATGCCATTTGCTGACCAAGTCACTCATACATGGTGCTATATACAAAATCACTTACCTCTGTCTGTTATCTGTATTTACCACTCAGTACTTGTGAGCTATGGCTCTTTGAATGTTTCATTCTGCTGGCTCTGCTCCATGAAAAGTCAGTCCCTGCTGGTGTCTATGCTTTAATGGAGCCAATTTCATTTTCATAATTTTTGTGCAACGTTGAGTAACATTTAGATTTTAGTATGTGTGCACAGAACCATAGAGGAGTATTTTAAACCCAACTGAAGTGACAGCATATCTTGCTCCATGTGAAGTTAGGTCTTGCTCTTGTTTGAGGCCCGAAGAAGCTATGATAATGAAAAAGCAGCAGTAACTCCTTCCATTGTCATTTGGTTGTAACAGAGACAAAGAGGAAACTGAGCATTGGTTATAAGGAACAGTAAGAAACATAAGAAGAGCAACTAGTTCTGTCTTCAGTACTGTTGTGCAAGAGCAGTGATTTGGAACTACTGCAGTGCTTCATCGCAAGTCTGTGCCAAGATTTCTGGAGCGTTGGTATCAGATGATGGCAAACACGTGTCAGTAAGGATTGTGGCCATTGAAGTTTGATGGGGTGAGATGTACTCTGGGTTGGAATGGTATCCTTGAAATTGGAGGGCAGAGAGTGGGGAGGAGGAGAGGATTAAAATGTTATCTGATGTACTAGGCATTATTTAGAAATTGGTTTGGCAGAGTTTAAGAGAGAGTTTTTGGTTGTTTATCTGTAACGATGTTTTGATTTGGGGTTTTTTGGTGCACTCACCTACCAGGAGGTGGTGCTGTTAGAGCAGAATCCCAGAGAATCCCTTCTATGTGAAAGAGGATGCTGTTCAGCACAAACCTCAGAGCAGTGCTGACTGCTACTCGAGGCAGGTGTACGTAGATGGGGAGGCTAGATATATGATGGATGACTCTGTCATTTGTTCAAAGCAGAGTGTGCCGTGATAGGTATGTATAGCCAGCGTAAGGCTGTTGAATCTCAGTGTGATGTTAGCAAAGCAATGCACAGCTTGTGTGCACATGCACACATAGAGAACTTGCTAAAGGGGTTGCTGTGAAATGCAGGACTCGGTAGTGTTTGGTTGCTCGGGGTGGTTGGTTCGTCTCTCCTGACATGCAGACAGACAGCTTCCTGGTACTCAGAGCATGTTGCTGTGTTATAGACTGTGGTGCCTACTGGAGGAGGAGGAAGGGTATCATCCTAGTTTAATAGGACTGTCAGATGTTACCCAGAACCACAGGACTAGTGCGGTACCTAAAAAAATGTGACAAATAGCCTAAGTCTAAGTGTCCCAGGATAGTACCTGATAGCTGTTGTTAGCGAGTGGTGGCAGTTAGTAGAAACCAAAGCGTGTCCAGTTCCCAGACCTCACAGTGTGGAGCTGGCTGAGGGCTGACCGAGCAGAAACCCTCTCAGCCAGGGCCTGTGTGTCTGTCTCGGGTTAGCAGCTTTCATGCCGGAGCAGAGGTGCTCTTGCACTTGTGATTGTCCCTTCACTACCATGCCAGAATAGGGTACTTAAGGTGGGCAGTTGCTGCTGCTGGCTGGGCAGCCAGTGCTTTGGCCAGTGTCGTTTTCTTCTGTTTTCTGAGGCTTGGCTTGAGGCTTTGGCTGCTAAAACCCCAACTGTTATTTTGTTGTCTGGCTTTAGCTCTTAACTCACAGCCTTTACCTCTGGGATGGGATGTTCACAGGACACATCCAGTCCCTTGTAAATATGGCATGTATCTGGGTCACTATGGTCAGACAATTCAGCTGAAGCAATAATTTCCATGTGCTTGAAGAGAATCACACGTTGCCTACAAGCACTGCCTTTCTCTGTGTCACAGTTGGTGAAAGAAAATGACACTGTCTGCCTTTGACACTGACCTTCTCCAGCAGCATCTCTACCTCATGTAGTAATAGCAGTCACCTTGTAAAGGGAATGAAAAATAGAAGGCTGCAAGCCATGTAAGCAAAGGACTAATGGCTTTTTAGGATACTTCCATATTCTTGCTCTCTTGTTGCTGAAGAAACATTTTAAAAATGTAAATTAGAATTTTTACTTGCCTATGTGTCAAATCACATGCATAAATGCAGAAAGCTTTGATAGTAAAATTTAAAGCTAGCAGCTTTTAAAAGTAAACTCTTCTTTGCATGCTGTATAAATTACATATTTAAAATGTGTGGGTATTTGCAACTTCTGGCAGCTTAAACAAGTGTGTAGGAGGCATATTTCAATGTTTTAAATATCTCATTTGAAGCCTAATGGATTACTTCAGGCAGATATTTGTTGTGATGTTTCCATATGGCAAAGAGAACGCTACCTTTCAGTTAATGTCCCATCTGCAAATACCCACCTGATGCTTCCTGCAACTGAGATGCTTAGTTCAAGTCTTTAAGTCCATTCTATTTGATATACAGGTGGGTTTTTTTCCATCAAGAATCAGAACTCTGTTCAAGATAAGAAAACAAACTGAGCCTTTTTTCCTCTGATGAAGTCTGTGCGATGTTGATGGTGCCCATAAAGCTGGGTGGTTCTAAGTGCCCTGTGCTCTGATACAGTCAGACACCAGCAGATGGAGCAGCAAAATGAAGATTCTCTGTGTTGGTTGCTAATAAGGATGTGTTTAATAGAAAAGTATGTTTAATGTTTGAAAGTGGCATGATGAAGAGTAAAGATTTGTGTATCATGGTCAGCCTGACTATAGAAAACTTGATCTTACAGCAGGGGATAGAAAGAATGATGAAGTAAGAATTAAAACAACCCTAGCAAACAAGGGCAAAGACCTTAGTTGAAGAATACCTCTCAGTTAAGCTGTTCTGACTCCTGTACATTTGATATATTCCACCAGGCCCCAAAGATGTTGCTTCTACACACTCCCTGAAGAAGTCCCCTTCTACAACCCTCAGGATCTGTCTATCCAGATGCTGCTTATTGGTTCATTTTGATCACCCAAGTAGTGGCTAATGTTAAGCATCACAATAAACCTGAGCAACTGTCCTTTCGCCACTGTTATCAAGACTGACAGAACTGAAGTACGCAATCACACAAATCTGGTAGGTCTTTATTAGTATCCTTCCTAAAGTTGGTCAAACTGAAGTTACAGGCTTGATATAGAAATTACTGGGTTGGGTTCTTTGGTCTGTGTTACGGAGAGGGTCAAGCTGAGGAGCCATAATGTTCCCTATTGGTCTTAAAGTCTGTGAAATTCCTTTTGCATCATTCTATGATCAGTGTGGTTTTGAAAGTTAACTGAGAGTTCATGTTGTGCTCAATAGGGAGGGAGTGATAAAACAAAGCAGGCCACAAGCCAAATGAAAGACTAGTGAGATTGAAACAGGAACCAGATGGCAAATAAGGAAGCCTGAAATAATGTGATAGACCAAAGGGAATAAAGAAGAACATGTGTAAGTCTTCAAGAAAATATACTATGCTGTGTGTTCTTGTTTGCACTGCCTTAGGTTTAGCACTATCATTTTATTCCTGGAGCATATTGGATAAGGTTGCCAGATAGTTTTCAATGAGAAAATGAAGGACGTATTAATGGATTTATGTTCCAATAGGAAAAAGGTCATGAACTTGAGTATCAAGTTCAAAGGGTGAACCCCTTAACCAGTTTGGGAAGAATGCAACAGACTTCTGAAGGGATTTGCTGATCCTTGCTTAAACTATTCCTTGTCTAAATATAAGTGTTGGACTCCACTTTAATATGTGTATAAAACTTTGAAGTGTAAGCGCAAGAAATTATACGGTTTACAAAAGTGGTTGGTGAAGTTAACTTGCAGCTGAATACAGGAAAGGTTCAATTGTTTTAAACCTGAACTGATACCAATACTATCAGTATTAGAGCTTTTGGACCTAAACACATGTTATGCCAAGACTATTAGTCATAATTCATTTGAGGGGCAGTTCTTAAAGGCATCAAAATTAGTTTCCAGTTATGTCTACCCTTAATTACATTGGCATCCTTAGATATGGAAGTACTGGATTAACTTTCTGCACCACTACCAGTTTCATTATCACCAGTGTAGCCAAATTAATTTTAAGCTGTGTTATATATAACTTAATCCATATCAAATCTTATTGTTAGGACAGCAAAGATAATTGATTTAGAACATGTTGTGCTGGAAATAGTTTTAATGTGCTGATTATCTTCAACTTCTTACATGCTAGGGAGCATATCTTTAACTGGACATAGAGCATCTTCCAGGCTGTAATCCATAAAATACTGCCTAATGTTTAGCTGTGATTTAAGCACCTCTGAACCTCTTTCTAGAGTTTAGAGTTTCTAGTTGTTTAAAGATAAGAAAATTCTTGCTTTTAGAGATTGAAATAAAGACTGCAGGAATTGTAATAAATATGTAAAATTTCTTAGCTTCTTATACTGTCATAGGTTACTATACTTTACACTGGAGGCAACTGCAGGGCTTTGCTTATATATACATGCACACATGTAAATATATATGTATATGTACACACACCTTTATTAGGCTCTAGTTTTTGTGACAGAACAACATTGCAAATTCCATAGAGGGCAAATATGGAATATTCAAACTGAGAGATGGAAGGTGGGCGTTGTATATTAGGCAGAGAATTGACAGTAGAAAGCTCTTCAGGAATTTGGGAGGTTTGGGAGGATTGGTTTAGTTTGGGTTTTTTAAAAAACATTTCAAGAGGTACACTGAAAGTTTTTAATGCCTGAGTAGGGATTAATCTATACATTCACTGTATACCTCAACTGCCACCTGAATGCCAGATCTTGGAAAGGTTTCAAACATGGAACAAAAGCCAAGGGATTCCTCTGGTATCCAAGATTCATGAGATTCTGATAATTATGGAAACACCCTGAAGGAAGGTTCTTGCATTAAAATAATTATTTTTAATATCCATTTCAGAAGCTAAATAACCATATCAGAAAGTCAAGTTCCAAACTTGCAGACCATGTCCATACTGTATTTGTCAAGACATGGAATATGCTACTATGAATATTATTTCAGATCCTAGATCAGTTAACATTAAACTTACTTTAATACTTCTTTCCCTGAAAGAGGAGCAAAGAGGAAATCTCATGCACTGTGGGATGCATTGCATTAGTGAAGGTGAGTCAGGGTACCAGCATATCAGTTCTCACTTCTCTAAACTTGTTTGTCCCATCTGAGATGCCATGTTGTGATGTGTTCTGGTCCTACAGTGCCTCACTTGTGCTTGTGAAATATGTAAAATCAGAAAAGGGACTTGATAGAAATTATTCCTGACTAAGAGATGTCTGCCATGCATTTCTGTGTAAAACTACTTCATCTGGAGGAATTTTTTGCTCTTGTGATCCATGTCATTCTTTTTTCACAAGGGAGCTTTAGCTCTTGCTTACCAAGCAGTGGAGTCTGAGGGAGAGTGTACAGGGCCAGGGATAGCTTGTGCTGCCAGTGGGCAGTCTTTTTTTTCAGATACAGCAAAATTTGAGGTCCCTGCTATTTCTGTCTGCTAGAAGAAAAAAAATATATCTGAAAAACCACTTTTCTTCTTCTGTTATGTAACCATATTTGTGATTGTAAGAAACGCTTAAGTTTTGTATATTTTCATTCCAAGGAAGGAGCATAACAATAAAAAGTTCCTGTGCAGGAGCTATTGGCTTGGAATGTATTTCCAGCATGCTGCTCTTCTGAACAAGCAGCCAAGGAATATCCTCTTGTGCACTGCAGTGACTGACTCTAGGCAATTGGACTGATAAGAGATGTGAGCTATGTAATTTGCAGGTAGGTTACTCTAATTCATGCTGTAATTTATGATGGGGTACCCTGGTGCTTTGGACTGCAAACAAAAGTTTCCCTTTATTATGTATTCTGTGTGAATATATATATATGTTTTGGAATCTAAGGCAAAGTGTCAGGAGGGTTATAGCTAGTAACTGTATAGGACATACTTGTGTGTGGAGAAGGGGATAAACCATTTTAGGAAGAAGAGCAGCTGTGTTGTAGCATATGTAAAGAATATAAGTTGTGTAGAATGATTGAGTTTAAGGCTGGTTTGAGAATGGAGAAGGTGGGATACATGAGTATTTGATGCTACCATCAATTTGAGGATGACCGCTGGTATCTGGGAATAGAGGGTTTCAATTTTATGAGGACATGGCTTTTGGTCTGTGTTTAGTAATAGGAGCTATGGTCACGGGGAGCCGGTGAGGTGAGTCTGTGACTTATTAGTCAGCTCTGTGGTTGTGTAGTTTGCATATGAGCAAGTCATGGTAGTAGAAAGAAATATGATAGTACAATGAAAGAATTTCCTCGTAGTTTTTTTCTAATACTTAAACAAGTCTAAGAACTTGCTTGAAGATGTATTTTCCTCAGGCAGACAGTTCATATGTTCTGCAAGAACTCAGGAAGTAGAATAGTGATAGATAGATATATATATACCCACCCACATTCATACATACACACATGCTAGGTCCTGGCATTTATGGCCAAGATTCACAACTGCTCCAACCAGAGCAGATGAGAGATGTGTTTATAAATACAGTTGCATCCTGCAGATGAACAGCAGGAGTCCTATATTTCTAAACTCCAAACTTTTTTGAAGTTTGGTATTAACCTTTGCTTTATACATGGAGGTTACAAAGTCTACAGAACTTAATAAATTCGTTTAAATTAAATATAACTAAACATAGGGGTTTATAGATGTATAAAATCTGTAAAAAGGCTCACTTCTGTATAGAACTCATATCTTCAGACGTGTCATGGTCTTAAGAAACACACCTACATCTCAGTATGCCTTCTTGTGACTAACTTTTTCTCCTTCCTTGTTGGAGCTGAGAGATGAGTGTTTGCAAAGACTGTAATCCTTGCATTGGAGACAATAATGCCAGTAGATTTCTATAAGGACAGAAAATACCTATAACATGGGGTATAGGTTAAACCACTACTAGTTTATTAGTGGAGAAATCTGAGTCCAAGTCTGGTTTAAGGTAGGACATATCTCATAAATTCTTATTGTGGATTTAATTCTACAGTGCAGTCCTCCAGTGAAGGCAAAAAGCTGTTCTGTGAGAATGCAAGTGGTCAATTTTGGGCAAAAGTAGGCTGTTCTGAAGGTATTTTTTTTCTCTTCAGTTTCTAGGCAATGGTCTAGCTTATAGATCTTCTCAGCTTTGCTATTGCCTGTGAATATCAGAGGATCCAAAATATTCTGAGAAGTCATATTATGTTAGCTGAATGAAGAAAAACATACAGTTGGTTTACTTTAACGTGTAATTACAATTGAAGGAAACTTCTGCTGTTTAAAAACAAATCATGCCATAGTGTGGAGCATTCGGCAGCAATGCCTCCACTGGAGCACTCATGTCACTGTCTCCCTAGTAGCATGCCCAATATTTGGTTTGCTCAGCTAAATGGAGCATGCCAGCAGGGCCAGCTTTCATGCCGGGTACTTTACCTGAGGACTCCAGGTCCCCTCTCTGCCATGCCTAAGCATGCAGCGAAGACTTTGCTGTTGGGGTGCTTCATCCCTCAGAACACTTTGCCTGAAGGTTTTTGTAAGAATGGAAACACGTTTCAAGGGGGCAGGTATTGAATGTTCCAGTGCCCCAGGCTACATTGCACACTACATTTGCACAGCCCCCCCACAGACTAACCCAGCAACAACAGCAAAGAACTGCAGCCATTAGGCAGGAGCATGTGGTTGCATCCAGAAGGGCTCCCGTGCCAGATTCTCCTCCTGAGCTCTTTGAAGGCTGAGCTCTATGAATATGAGATTGTTCATGTTAATGTCTGAATTAAAACATAAATTCTACTTCAGCCAACTCTGAACTGCTTTTAAGAGGAACCCATAGGGCTCGAGAGGGAAGATCTGTAAAGAAATCAGAAGTTAGATTTCCCAAGTCAAAGGTAGCAAAGGGAAAGTGGAGATGACTTTTTTTAAGCCTGTCAGCCAGCCAGGGTACTCTGCTGGCCACGGCATACACAAAATTGTCCATCTTACGTCAAGTACGTGATTGAGATCGTTAAAATGATTCCCTGACTGAGTAGCTACCACCTGGCATGATACCAGGTGCTAGTCTCCACCGCAGTTATTATTCAAGTACTGTCCTGTTTAGCTGGATTTTATCTGAGTTTGTTAATGATTTCAGATTAAAACTATACTTTGGGGGGAATAAATAAAAACATTCTTCCAGCCCTTTTTTTTTTTTTTTTTTCCCTTAATTTCACAGTTTTTTTGTGAAGCTTGCAAAGCTCGCAAGAGGATAGTGAGTACTTGTGGAGTGAAAACAAGCTAGAGTGCCCTTGCTGGGGTATGTATTGATATTTCAGTTCATAACTGATAAACATTACAAGGCCAGTTGGGAGGGAGGAGGGAGTCAGGGCAAGGAAGAGTGACTAGGACTTGGGGGCAGAAGGGACTTATTCTTTTTCAGGAAATGTTTTGATTGTAATGGAAACTTACTACCTCACCATGAAATACAAACATTGTGTGTTGTCCAGAAGTAAGAGCAGAGGGAAAATAAAGCTGGGCCTCAGCTAACAGAAAACACGTCATACAAACAGGCTGGGAAGCCAGGTTTGTGGTTACATGGGGACTATAAACCCTTGAACTAGACAAACTCAATAGCTTTCAGTCACACTGTCAGCTAGAATGTGATTACAGCTTATTCCAGCACAAATCTGTTGTTAATGAAAATAAAACTCAGAGGCAAGCTTATCAGATGTTCTGTGTTTATATGTTGTACTCACAAGGCATTTGGAGAAGGCGTTATGTGCCTCAAAACCTCAGGAGTATGTAATCCAACGCAAAAGACAATATAATGTGGTGCTGTTACCAGAAAATCTAAAAAGAAGGGTTTGAATAAAGGAAAATCTTTCCCTCTTCACCCTGAACTTCGATCTCATTTCTGAGTGGATTGGTGCATATGTTAATAAGGCTTCCAGAACAGTAATTATGGAGGTGCAGGGTACTGGCTGCAACACTTGAATGTGGTTCTAAATTTTTGAAAATACAGTGATAGTATCTCCTGAGAGAAGTGAAAAATCTCTACCAAAGAAATATGCTGCCAGGGTGGACTTTAATAGCCCCCAAAATGAGTTTTTCCTGTTAAAAACAATATTCCCAGAGAAACTTGACACATACCTGTGTCACCTTCATACAAAACCCATACAGTAAGCAATTCTTTACCTCCCCCTCACACCCCACACAAAGGCTTTGACCATGCTACGCTTAAGCTATAGTTTCTGCTTTGCAAGCTCGGAATCACTTACCTAAAAGATCTTGCTCCTGCAGGACTAAAATAAACGCCAGTGCCCAAAGGAAAAGCATGGTTTCAGCCTCTCCAAGCTCTGCCGTAGTCCTGGTGGAGAGCCCTGCAGCCTCCCTCCCCAGCTTCACATCGACTCCTCCGTCCAGCCGTTCGTGCTGAGGTTTAGCCAGAGTTAGGAGGAAATATGCCCAGGCTGAGCCAAGATTCTTAAGCTGTTCTATTCTGCTTCCCTCCTTTTAAAATACACCCTTCCAGCTCCACACAATGTCCAGTTACCCAGGAAAGCTGGCAGTGTTCCAATCTCCCCAAAGTTATTTTTTTTACCCTTGTATTTAGTTATGCAGACTACAACTGGAATGTGCCAAAGAGCTTTGGATCCTGTAAATACAGCAAGTGGGGCAAGAAAAGGAAGGGAGAAAGGAGGAGGAAGGGGTGCTGGATGTTTCTTTCCCTGTAGGATTTCATCTAGGGCGGGGAAAGCAGGGACACTGGCAAACACAGTGTCTTTAGATCTTGTGAGCTTACCGGGCTTTTTCCATTATTTGTTAATTTTAAGACTGCAGAAACATCGTTTTTTGGGCAGTGCGAAGTATGGTTGTGCTGTGGGAGGTGGCAACTGTCTGTGGTGCTTTATGTTTGGATGGTATGGTATCATGGGAGATCCTGAGGAGCCATCTGAGCCCTTTTCAGTTTGTCAGGTTTTTGAAACAGCTTAGACTTGGTAACATCACGTGCAAAAATAGTGCTGCTGATGGTATTCTGACAAAGTGTGTGATTTTTAGAAGGATCTTAATTAAATGTTAATTGTTTGTCTTGAGGGTTCATGGGTGCTGACTGGGTAAGCGCCAATCTTTGACTCCACTAGACTGGAGTTCGAAGACTTAAGGTATCTCCTTCCTGATATTGTTCCTCATATCTACTTGAGTTCTCTTTTTTCAAACTATTGCAAGTAAAAGGTGAAAGGCCATTAGGGTGTCCTACTTAATCCTAAAGGCTGTTGTCCAGGATAAACAGTGTTCTAACTGTTGAAAATAAAACCCCAAAAACTAGAATGGATTTCCTTAGTCTTTGCTACCTCTCTAGCAGTCAGAAAATCAAGTTACTTGAATAAGATATCTGAAAGTGAGCCTGTAGAGATGCTATTGTAGAGTTCAAAGTGTAATCACCCTCAGTGACTTCCAAATTAAGTTAGATTATAAGCTCAATTACAAGGCAAAACAGCCTCAGCAATAAAGATTTTGTGATTGGAATTTATCTGGTAACTGTGTTGATGCACTGAGCATAACAGGACACAGAACAACCTCAGTGTGTATTGAGCCCTCAGGGCTGGTGCTGGTGAGCTATTATGAAAGAAAAAATGTTAGCCATGAGAATTAGATTTGCAGTGTTTTTCTGGGTGTTTTGTCTTAAATCACTCTGTAGAAATACTGCAATTTTTACAAATTCTTGTTTTGAGAATAAATCTGATTGTTCCTGCTGAAAAATTACATAGATTTTAATTTTGTTATAAACGGGTCTTTAGAAAGGAACTGCAACAGGTAACAGGGAGTCCACTCTGTTTTATTCTGTGTTTGAATATGAGATGCTGACATGGTAGGCTATGATTTTTGAAGTGAGAGAATATCTGTGTGTTGTCTGTGGTTTGGAGAGAGGAGAGTGAGGGGCAGAAGAATATTTATAAATAGTTGGCTGCTGTTTTCTGAATGTGTTTGTCCTTTACCTTAAGCAGAATCACCCAATGCATTCTCTGTATTGCAAAGAGAGACAGTTCACGGATGCTTTTGTACATGCTCTCTGCCATCCTCTATATCATAGTATTAAAAACCAATGAACATTCATAGTATCAGTTTTCCCTTCAACACACTATAAAAAATAATGCATTTTCCATTCCAGACCACCTCTGCTGAGGTCACTCACCCCCTTCACAGCACATTTCCTTGAGGTTGCTCCTAAATTGCTCTCAGGCTCCTGAAACAGTTTAGTCCCTCCCAAGGCACTTGCTTCTTATTTTTACATATGGTGTTACATTTGTCCATGGTGAGGTGCTGGTCTGACAGCCATGGAGAACTAAACAAAATAGTGAGGACTTTCTCTAGTATCATACTCCAGGGGTTGTTTCTGTAATGAGAAGGAAACTCTTTCCACTGCAGGGAAATGAAGCCAGAAATAATACTTCTGTCCAGTGGGATTCTGGTTTTCTGTAGGGACTACCTGTCCTGAGAATTTTTATGACCTTGGTTAATTACCTAAGATGACTTTTGTTATTTATAAATACTTAGAATGAAGCTGCAGTTTAAAACAATTTAACTAGCAACATGAAGTACAAAAAATCCAGGGTTCTTGTCAGAAATCATTAAATTGCAAAGTAGATTTTTCAGTGCAAGACAGAAGATTTGAGAGCAGCAGAAAGAATATGATACAAACCTATTTGTCTTCTGAAAAGTTAGTCAGTAACTGATTGCCACCAGAGAAAGCATTCTTCAGCATATTCATCTTGGAAATGTCCATATATGAGAATATAATGAGATCATATGAATATAGGTTTGCACAAAATCCAGCTGTTGAGATGTTCCCAAGATATCAGCAGCCAAAAAAAGCATACCAATGAACAGGGATGTGAATTTTTGCCAATGCGCAGTCTGGTGAAAGGGAGAGCGAACATAAAAATTAGGTCTATTTTGGGAGTGGTTTTTTTTTTTTTTTTTGTACAGTCTTTCTGTATCTCGTTCTTGGACTTGTCAAACGCTTGGCAAAATCAGTAAATAAGTGCACAGTGATCCCACAGAATGGATAGGGAGAAGGAACAGAATAAACAAAGGGCATATATTGGCAGAGGACATATGTGCCATGTGAAAAAGATCATATTGTTATTGGGCATGAAAACCTGCAGCATGGGCTGACAGAAGATATAGCTGAGCATACACTTGGCAAAAATCGGAGAGCACTGTACTGCAGTCCCTTGGGACTTTAAGTGAGACAGAGGGAAAATTAAGTGGACATTACTTCAGGGAACAAACGTACAGTAGAACACCCATCCTTGTGGGAAGAGGAAAGTGATTTATGCTGAAGAGAACGAAATGAAAGAGAATAATCTCTACCCTGGATTTAACACTGGTAGATGATGAAATCAGTGCAAGGTTCATATGTCCTGCCTACCTGCCTGTGGGAGAAGATTTGTGTCCATTAGGGACTGTGGAGATTCCTTGGGCTCTCATCACAGTGTTATTATCTGCTAGCTGCTCATGAATAAAAGTTCTTGCTACTTGGAGGCTGTTGAACACCTTATATAAAATGAGGTTTGGTTCATGATCCTTTTAGAAGACATCAATTATTTTCACTCCCTTAATTTACTCAGTTTCTCTCTGCTAGGTTGAAACAGTAGATGAATAGGTGTGGAAGCAGAATTTTGTTACATGGAGAGGCTGATTTCCACAGAGCAGGTATGCAGATTGTGGGGTGCTTCTGAGGGAAGCAGAAGGCGCTCTGCAACCAGGGCATCTGTTCGGTGAACAGTTGAAAGGCCTCTTGCAGTGGTGATTTCCCCAGAAGCAGGCATTGCCATTTAAAGCTTTTGATAGCAGTGACTCTTAACACCACATCCTTGACAGTCTCCACTGAGCCTCCATGTCTCTGTTGTTCATGGGGCAGCCTCAGCTGGTGCTACAGGTCTTCGTGGGCTGCAGCCTTCGATGTGTCAGTACCTTCAGGTTCTGTGCCAGTGCAATCCCCTCTCCAGTCTGTTATATATCAAGTTGTACTAGTGTTTATTATCTTGATTTGCAAGGGACATCAACAGTGTGAAGTTCTCCTGCTATTGACATAAAGGCATAATTTGACACTGTTAAAAAAATTATATCACATGGTTGATGGTATGTGGTACTGTCAAGATCAGCTCTGTCTCTAATTGTACCCTCCCTGGAGAAGTTAACAAATGTACGTGTCATGGAGCAGACAACTCTGATTCAGCCTTCTTCAAAACAATATGCTCTGTAATACGCCTAAAGCCAACAGTGAGTCAGCTACAGGAACTGACTCTCCTGTGTTATCCTGGTGCCAACACACTGGGTTGGATTCTGTTTGCCAGCATTAGGAAAGCATCCGATGGCTTCAGGCTGTTTTGCATCTATGGCTTCAGCTTCCTGACCAAAAATCTGTGAGGAAAATGAATCAGAAAGCTGAAGGAGGAGGTGGGTCACATGGAATATTAGTGAATGATGTTGTTTGTTTTGTATTTCTAACCGGTTGTTAGATCCTTTCATTTGACAGATTTCATGCATTTTCTGAAGCCTGGCCATGCCTCACATGAAATATGGTATGTGGTGTGCCTGCCCATTTTAGAGAAAGGAAAACTTTGTCCTGACAAAGATGGGTTAACTATATTCCCAGCTAAATTAGTGACTCAGGAACGGAGTCTTGACTCCCAGTCTTGTATTGCACACATGCTGATCTGATAATGTGTTATATTTTCTACTACAGAAAGCTACATCCCTTTGCTGTTGTAACTTTATGTCCACCCATTTGAGTCACATAAAAATGTGAAATAGATCTGTGAGTCCATGACAGATAATATTCTAGAAAATTATACTCATGGGGTAAGTACTTTATTATTCCCAAATTGCAATTACTCAGATAGTATCTTTAGCAGATCAATATTGTAAACCACGCCAATTAAATGAGATAATTACTTGAAACTGGACCAATATTTTCATTGTGTGAAGAGGTAGCTTATATCTGAGAAGCTATCAATCTGTTAAATAAGTTAAATAGCACCTTACCGAACACAAGTCATGACAAACAACAGTAAAGCAGGGGTCTGTGCTACTTAACATTTATGTACCTTTCTCCATTAGGCAATGCATCAGCCACGTATATGAAGCCTTTGAATACAGGTAATATTTACCATATAAAGGACCTACAAAGTTGAGATATCTCATGAAACAGAGAAACAGCTGGAAATAAATCCCATTTTCGATTACTCGTCAGACTATTCTCCTTTCCTTTTAATTACCACAAGGTCATGGACAGAGATAAGGCAAAGAATGATTTGCCGGAGAGAGAATCCAAGCTAATCACTCCACTGCCATTCCTCTGAAAATTTACAGTACATGTATTATTTTCAGCCAATGTAGTAAAAGGCCCAGGTTAAGACTCCTTTTAAAATACATGTGTCGGAGGAAACATAATACTGTAGCATGATGGTAGTAGTTCCTTTGTTATTACAGATACTGCACATCTTTAGCTGAAATTTTTCTTCAAGCGTGCTTCTGACATATGCTTCTAGGCAAAGGCTGAACAAGAGTATGTATGAATTTTTTTTATCCTGCTGGCTGTGTCGTTAATCACATGGT